AAATTAAAGGGCAATAACAACTTATTTTATAATATTTGGCAACCCTTCATAGATTATCTTCCCACTGATCTGGTTGGCTTATTGCAGAAAGGGTGCCCACACTTTATCTTCAAAAATACATCATAGTCATGTTTTTTTTTTCCCTTTGACATGTAATTTAGGTAGATAAGATTGTATCTGATATGATATATGTTATTACAACCCATGTATGTTATTTTTATTTTTATTATTTTTGTTTTTTGTTTTTTGAATGTATATATATTGAAAAAAAGTAATTTGATTACATCTGTGCTGTCTTGTTCTGTGCTTGTTATGTTTAAAAAATGAATAAAATATATATAAAAAAAAAAAAAAGAAAGGACCAATATCACCTCCAGCCGGGTGGTTGAAAGAGGGTGGAGGAAGTCTTTGCTGCACTTCCAGTAAAACTTGTGACATTTCTAAACATTGAGAATCTGTGTGAGCAGTGGAGTGAAGAGGGCGAATACAGCTTCCATCTTTGTCTGTTACCCCAGATGTCGGGGAGTGGCAGGAAAGAGGAGGTGGACTGCTGTCCTTTAGTACTCCTGTTCTGGGAAAGTTCCAGGATGCAGGAAAAAGGCACTCTATCAGTCCTGTGTTAAGGTCCTACATCTTCGTGGTCTGTCGGAGTGAAAGAGTCGAGGTGGATCGAGTTTTTTGGCCCGGAGGTTTCCCGAAAGGCAGCTGGCGGTCCCTGTACAAGCTGCCTGTTGAGAAGAGACAGCAGATCTCCAGTGGAGAGTTGTGCATGGGGTTATAGCCACGAACAGATACAGAGCGCACATTGATCCAGGGGTGGGAGAGGAGTGTTTGTTTTGTTCACTAACTGAAACTTTGTCTCATCTGTTTGTTGAGTGTCCCAGGCTCTCACTCTTGTTTGTCCTTATGAAAAGCTTGTTTGAAGCTCTCGGGAGGATTTCTCTTATGCATTGTTTGTTTTGGGCCAAAGTATTCTGCAAAGAAAAAGACTGTACATACACTGATGAACTTTTTATCTGGCTCGGCTAAGTTGGCCATTTGGCTTACACGCAAGAACCGAGCTCAGGGTACTGGCTGTGTGGAACCGGTGCTGGTTCTGGAGGGACTTTTGAAGGCCAGACTGAAGGTAGAATTTGCCTATTATCAAATGATGGACAATGTGCAAGACTTTAATAGTGTATGGGCTGTGAAGAAGCTTTGTGCTCTGTGGGTGGGGATGGAGAGCTGATTATTCATTTTTGATGCAGTAAATGTTGTTTTTGTTGATGTTGTGATTTTTTTGCACTTGTTTTGTTTTATGTTTTATTTATTTATTTCCTTCTCTTGATCTGAGTGATGATGTGACAGTGTTATAATTTTCTCCAGGTAGTGGTAAAATAAAAGGTATTTTGAAAACCAAACCTCTCTCCTCTCTCGTTTCTGTTTCTTCTCTCCTCTCTCTGTTTCTTCTCTCCTCTCTCTGTGTCTTCTCTCTCTCTCTCTCTCCTCCTCTCTGTTTCTCCTCCTCTCCTCCTCTCTCTGTTTCTTCTCTCCTCTCTGTTTCTCCTCCTCTCTGTTTCTCTCCTCTGTTTCTTCTCTCTCTCTCTCTCTGTTTCTTCTCCTCTCTCTGTTTCTGTTTTCTTCTCCTCCTCTCTCGTCTTTGTCTCTGTCCTGGGAATAAAAAAACCTCACACACCATTTGTGTTTTGTAACACTCACGCTTGTTTATAAATAATCTTTCATGTTTCCAGGACGTTTAAAGCACAACAACAACACCACCAACAACAACACCACAACACCACCACAGGTGATGAAAGTTTGCAGGAGGACTGTAGTTCAGAGTAGAGGTGTGCATGAGGGGAGCAGCAGAACATCTCTCTCGTTATGTTCACAGAGGATTAGCATCATCTTCACTAACGAGAGGATCAATGAACGTTTAATTCATCTGTGAGCTGCTGGAGTTTTAAAAAAACAGTCCTCTCTCCCTCTCTGTGTGTGAGCCCAAACAGTCGTTTTACTCCATATCTGTTTATTCTCTCATAGTTGGGCTGCAGAACATCAACAGGACAACAACAACAACAAGGACTCAGGACTAACAGGACTGTTCTGTAAACATGATGATCACTACTTATTTTCTGCAGCAGACTTAACCATAACCTACACTGATGGTAGAGGCTGCTGAGTAAAGAGTCATCAGTATTAACTCATCCATTCATACACATTCACACCGCAAACAAAGCAGCTGGAGCAACTTGAGTATGTCCGCCCAGCTGCACATCACTACGTGGCTGCAGCAGCACTACATTACTACACCTTTAATACATCACATTACTACAGAGTCGTATGGGAGGAGGCTGAGTGTTCAGGTGGAGCTCAGAGAGCAGCTCAGCCAAACGCTGCACCGCTCCAACATTACATAACGGATGTAAGCCTCTCAGAGACAGCAGCAGGAGCACAGAGACAAAGACACACACACACACACACACACACACACACACACACACACACACACACACACACACACACACACACACAGGTGTAAAATCTGAGAAGATATCAGTGAGGTGCAGTGTTTACAGAGAGCAATGTGAAGGCTGGACACTCAGGAGGATACACAAACGCTCTCTCTCTCTCTCTCTCTCTCTCTCTCACTCACACCACACACACCACACACACACACACACACACACACACACACACCACTCTTATAGTTACTACAATAACCCGAGGTCTCTGCAGAGCCAAATACCTCCACATCCTTCTCCTCCTCTTGTGCGTGTTTACAGCAGCTCCATCCTCCATCCACACCTGCCCCCCCCCCACACACACACACACACACACACACACACACACACACACACACACACACACACACACACACACACACCTTCGTGAGCTGAGCGATCTTCTTGCTCATCTTCAGGTGCAGGTCTTGTGTGTATTCCGCGTCAGTCCTCCGTCGTAGAACATGCTGGATGAGAGGGAGGTGGTGTATTTGGAGCTGGAGGTGTGGGGGGGTTGTACGGAGGCTGCCAGCCAGCCCCCGTCGCCATTTTCCCGGGAAAAAGGGGAGCGGAGAGGACGCGGTGTTCAGAGAAAATGGAGCAGATCGTTACATCGTCCCATCCTGATGTCTGTCTCTGATCTGCTCACACATACACGCAATGTGTCCGCGACACCGAGCTGCGGGCGCGTCACCGAGCACACTCATGCACCCGCACCGGGAGCGTGCTCACAGGGATCAGAGCGGCGGAGACGCGCCCCAGATGCTCAAGCATCAATTGATCCACGCTGCTGTAATGCAGATGATGGACAGCATGTGATGCGTTCATGGAGGATATTCAGGATACATGGAATATATCCAACCAGTGTCACGAGTAAACAGTGACTTAACCAGTGAACGGGTAATATTTACAGTCTATGATGAACAGCCATGGGCATTTGATGCATTCAGGGGCTGTAGGAAATATTTTATTCTACATCCATGAGTGATAAAATTCACAGGCTGCAGGAAAAAAATCAAATCTTATTTAGTGTAAGTAGTAGGCAGCAGGTTTACAATCAGGCCCCCATGAGCTCGTGGTGCTTTACAGGCTGCATGATGGCCTGGAGGAAATATGAACTATTTAACATGTAAAATCAGGAAACAGTGACCAAACACTGAGGCAGCGATGATGCACAGGCTGCAGGATGGTGCATTCAAGGCCTGCAGGAATATGATACATAAAACTAGTGCAACCGGTAACCAGCCAACACCATTGTATGATGATGTCTGCACATTATACACTTCCAGTTTCCTGTGGGACTGATGATAATAAGAATCAAACTTTATTATTCATATTCTCTCTATTTGAGTTGATGAGTTTCTCTGTCTGATTTATTTCACCTCCTAAATATATGAACGAAAAGTCAACCTTCTTTATAAATGTGTTATAGGTAATAAAGTGTGGCTGATGAATGAACACTTAAAGATTTGGCATTACGTCACTCTAAAGAAACTGTTAATAGTCCACACTGACACCTGCTGGACATATTTATGAATTGCAACACAATATCCAAAAAGATCAGTTTTAAGAATCTACAAACTAAAATAAAAATAGATAAAAACACAACATTAAGACAAAAGAATCCATCTTTCATGACAGCCCATAAAATACCTTTTATCATTGTCAATAAACGATTAGGAAATGATTTTTTGTACTTTTCTAACCAAAAGCTAATAATCATTACTGTTGTGGAGCTCTGCTCTACATAGAGTGTGTGTGGGGTGTGTGTCTGATTGGTCAGTCCAGCTGGACTTGCTGCTTCTTGATTGGTTGAAGCCTGACTTCCCAGTTTTTAAATCTGCTGCTCTGTCTTCACCTCTCCAACAGAAAGATCTAAGCATTGCAGCTGAAATGATGATTGTGACACTTAGATAAATCTGAAGCCTGATTACTTCCGGTACACCAACAAACAAAAGCATCATCGCAAAATACTTAGAGCTCCTGTCATTAAATTTCTGTTTGGGACGATTTGGCTCCATCTCGTGGACAAAACGTAGACTGCATATAACATGTGATTTACAGTCAGGGGTACATAGATATACTGTACATACATACACATACATACACACACATATATACATATACACACATACATACACATACATACACATACATACATACATATACACACACATACATACAATAGGTTCTTATTTCACTTAAAAAACATTTGTAGAGTTAAGTGAAAATTCTTTTTTTTTTCAAGATTTATTTTTTGGGCTTTTGTGCCTTTAATGCAGAGACAGGACAGTGGATAGAGCCGGAAGCCAGGGAGAGAGAGCGGGGAATGACACGCGGAAGGGGGCCACGGGTGGAGGTGAGCCCAGGCCTACCGCTCGAGACGAGAGCCTCAACACATGGGCCCTAACCATTAAGTGAAAATTCTTCATCAATTACTTCTTTCATGTCTTTATTCTCGTTGAAGACTTTTGGGTTGAGTATCCAGACACATAGAGAAATGACTACAAACACCAGTAATGTTTAACATAATTTATATTTATTTTTCTTTTGAACAAAATGTTAATAAATGTATTTGTTTTACGTCCAAAAAAGATCATGACTCGTGGGACGCATTTTATAAATAATTTCATCCAAGTCTTTTTGTAGAAAAAAAAGAAAGTAAATTAGCAAACTAAAGCATCTCTAGTATGACAATATGACAACTTTATCATAATTTTTTTCTCTATATTTGAACCCTTTTTCTCAATTCAAGCATCATTTTTTTGTATATTTTTCTCAAGACCTCTTCATCTCATCTTTTAAACATCCAACTTAGTCCTACTCATCAACTCACACCACTGCTTTAGACAACAGAAAATGCGGCAAAAATCTCAAAAAACAGACAAAAAACCAAAGAGGCAAACAGAAAACACAGTGAGATTCCAACAGTGAGGGGTAGGCACGGGAAGATGGGGAAAGGGAAGGTGTGGGGTGGTGGGCGGCCATTTTGGGATTCCACATCCTAAGGACATATTTACAACAGAAAGGACAAGGTGGTGGTGTGACGGTGTTGGTGGAAGTTGGTTTGTGGTGGGGTTCATCTGCATAGATCCACAGGACTCAAATCATGAACAGCTAAGAGATCGAAGGGACGGAGCACAAAGAGTGAGCCTGTTACATCCGCTGCTGTCTTCAAGGGAATGTCGTTTTTCGTTATCACAGTTTGCCAAGGAAAACAAAAGTAAAGGAAACAAGACAATCACAAGAGACTATCAAGCAAAAAGGGGATCAGGGTGTAAACTGGGTGGAGAGATTTGGGGGCCAGTGTAGACTTGACTTTGCATGTGACATCCCACTCCTGTGATGAGTGTGAGAAGAGCAAACTGACAGCCTTTATATGATGTGAAGCGAGGTAAGGGCGGGATTTAACAGGAGTGCACTGAAACCACATTTTCACAGTTAAGAACAATTTGGAGTTCAAACTCCAATCTGTCTTAAATTGCTGTCAATCTGTCAACAAGTTGCTCCAATAAACATCTTTATTTGAATATTTTTGTTAGCATGCTAACATTAGCTTTTCATTTTTTTTTGTTGCTTGGGTATCAGATTTAAACATCTCTTTGTGAGTCCCCAAAGCTAAAAATGGGAGTTCTAAATCGTCCTTAATCCCTGTGTGAACTTATATGGTAGCAGCTATGCAGGGGGGGATAAGAACATCGGATGGATCAGCCCTTGGAAACTCCTCACACTCCTCGTATGCTGATGCTAACACAGCCCTTTGCTAGCCTGTGAAAGATAGCAGTTGATCAGCTCGTCTAAGGGTATTTAAGAGTCGACAGGTTGATTGATTGATTGATTGATTGATTGATTGGTCTGCTGGTCACTCGCTCCACTTCCAGGTAGCAGAAAGAGCCACAAAGTAGGACACTAATGCTGGCTGTTTTTTTTCTATATTGCTCCATTTGCCAGAATCTGCCTCACTGGGGTGTACACAGCAGAGAGGCACTCGAAGATCCGGGACCTCATTTATCAAACCAAGTGTATCAACAAGTCGTCGATGTGTTCCCAGAAATTCTTGATAAAAAAGTAGCGATAAACACCCCCAAAATGTCATGGTCGAACACATTGTACTGAAAGTTCTTAATGCATCATGACTTTAGAGCTGAGTTCATGCACTGGCCATATTATTGGCGGCCATTTTATTTTGTTAGGATGGGAGTAGTGGAATATTTCAAGGTTAAACAACACATCTTAATACCTCATAGCTAGGTTTAGACAACAGCTAAGGTTAGCATTCAGCCACTTGCTAGATAATTTACATTAGCTAGAAAGTGACTGAGAGCAAAATACTCTAGTTTGGTTGTGTCACACAATTTGATAAGAAAGATATAAAATCTGAGCTTATGTGCTTGCAAGGAATTACTTCCTAAGTGATAATGTTAGCTAGCACAATATCTAATGATGAAGCTAGCTGTTAGCTAATTGGTTAGCAAATATGTTGCTTTACAGAGAAATCTGCCTTCATGTCCCTCCAGATTTTTACAACTAATTGTCTTTTCAGTTGTTCTTTTGACTTTCATATTAATCTAGCTAGCTAGCGGTTTACTGGAAGAGTGTCCCACTAGCTAACAGTAGCCACCTAAGATATGCAGAAGTATGCTTTGGAGGTCAGCTGTAACACAGAGTGTTGTTGAGGTCTGATAGAATTATCTAACAATTCCTCCTTTTTTATATGCTAACATTGTTCACCATGCAGGTGGTTTTCATGTTTTAATTTGAATTCCTACAGGTGACGCATTTTCAGAGTTTCACAAGCATGGAAAAAAAATCGATTCTGTGTGTAGAAACAAGTATACACATGGTTGATAAAGGAGGTCCTTGGTGTTTTGGCATCATGCAACTGTTCTCTAGTATCCCTGGGTTGTCCCTGCAGCCTTATGTACGACTTCTCTAAATACTGAGGCGTTCAGACGAGCCACCGGGCTGCCTATCTGCAACACCGACACTACCGTGTGAGGTAAACTGAACACTTCAGAACCTAGAGAACACCACTTCCTGTTTAGGAGCCCATTAGCTCCTGCAACACCTTGTCATCATTAGCTGAACCCTTCTCTATGTTAGCCACTTGGTCACTCCCAACTTGCTCAATGGCCCAACAAGTTAGAAGAGAAAGTGAGCCAGTCTCAGAGCACTTAAGGTCCTAAAATGTGTAGGCATGTACCGCCAAAAAGGGGGTTGAAAATAAGTTCCAAGTGTGACAAAATACAAGCAGAACATTAGAATATTGAAGAACATACATTTTGTTTTCAGAGAAACAAGACCCATATGAATGACGATGGATCAGATGGTCCTGGCAGGCCCCTCAAGCAACACATACAAAGGTTGTAAGAAGATGCCTCGAAGGCGATGAAGAGCAGGAAGTGGAACACAGTTGATATGTCAAAACATTCTGGCACCTGAAAGAAATGCAGCAAAAATCTAAAGGTAATGACGAGTGAGAGTGCACACTTCATCAATGTCCATATTTTCCCCTCTGCCATCCAGACACACTTTGAAAACGTTAGGGTAGGAAAGGAGGGAGGGAAGGAAGGAAAGGAGGGAGAGAGAGAAGAAGAGGAGGGACAATATGCTCAAAAAACATTTGGATGGAATAGAAACAATGAGCAGGTTTCAAGTGGCAAGAGGTCAGTTCTTCAGGGGGGTTGGTTTTCAAACATCTCGGTTTGGTCGATGTCCAATCCCAGCGCCCTTAGCTCCAGTTAAAACCTTCCCACTTCCTGTGGTAGATTGTAGAGGCATATTCTGCATGTCTCGCCAGGTGTGTCCCTGGCAGCCATGCCATTTGTAAAAGCCATAATCCTCTGGATGACATCACCTTTTACAAGCAACCAAATTCATCCTCCAAGGTTCACTCCTCGTTAGAAGCGCTCTCCTCAGGCGAGAAAATGGCAGCCACGCCCACCAACGTGGAATTATGGGAGGCTGAAATGATGATGACAGTGTGTAGGAGGACAAGGGCCAGCAGGCAGATCTTCAGTCGCCCGCTACACAGTCTCGAGGTGGCAGCTGAGGTGACTGAGGCCCCCTCGGGCTGGCAGGAAGATGCAGTCCTTTTTAGTGTCTCGCCTGAAGGGTTGTCCATTTTGGAGTCCCATCGGACATCGCAGCACTCCGCTTCACTGTCTGATAGATATTCTCCCAAGAGCCCTTAAAAAGAGATGACAAAGGGGAAATATTCAGTCATTTTCCTGGAATACAAATCTTTTATTTAGAGCCTGACCGATATATTAGTAGGCCAATATGATCAGGCCGATATGGACCTTTGAGATATATTGACATAGGTGAACTGTTTTCTTTTTAGATATGAGTTGTTAAAAAATAATTCTATATGGAACAAACAATAATATCTGTTTAAGAAAGCAGCAAAACGAGTACATTAATATATCTGAAAAACCAGAACACCACACCACATGACATACATTTTATTTTCTTACCACTTTTACCTGCTTTTGTAACATAACAATGAGTAAGATCTTTTACCTGCTTTTTGTAACATAACAATGAGTAAGATCTTTTACCTGCTTTTTGTAACATAACAATGAGTAAGGTCTTTTACCTGCTTTTTGTAACATAACAACGAGTAAGGTCTTTTACTTGCTTTTTGTAAAGTGTCTCGAGATAACACTTGTTATGAGTTGATCTTTTTTAAACTTCATTCATTCAGAAAATTATTTTAAAAATGTCTTTATGACTGCCCTTTACACACTTGTCATTTTGACAGCTCATTGGCTCATAAAATGATGACATGATTCTCAGCACAGGTCCACAGGTCTGCTGTGATGCTCAGCTCTGATGGGTTTGTTTGTTTGTTTGTTTGTTTGTTTGTTTGTTGTTGTTAGTCTGCATCAATCCAGTGTCTGCTCCTCGGTCAGTACTCCTGTATAAACGGCTGTAAATATTGAGACACAGAAAATGTGAAAACGTCCTGCTCTGAGCTCGGTTATGCTCAAACACACCACTAGGTGTCATTGGAACGCCTTGACAAACATCTCTCTGTTTTCCTGCAGGAACTCCTTCCAGTAAATATGGAGACAGCATAAATTACCACCGAGCATCCTTTTTTATAAAAATGCTTTTTTCACTCCTGTAAATTGAATCGGGGGGCTTTCTCACTGCGACGCCTGCATGTGCTGAAAGTCAGCCGCTGATGTCAACAGGATGCAGAATTTGACAGCGAGGCGTTTTTTTTACCTGTGCAGATGAAGCTCGGGCTGCCGCCGTGGATCAGGTCGTCATTATCGGGCAGGATGAACGGACAGCTCTGCTGGACCTCCAGGCAGTACTGGTGGCATGGGACCCTCCTCTCACAGGAATGCGGGGTGGTGGGGAAATACTGAGCGCACAGCCAGGGCTTATAGGCCGTCTGAGGAGGAGGAGAAGAAGAAAATTTAAAAAATGTTTACAGATTGAAGCCCAAACCCTTTAAGGGTCAACAGAACTTTTTTAATTAATTATAGCTCATGAGATATTAGCCAAGACTAGTCTGCTAGCAGGGAGACTGGGTCAGTCGTACTGCAGAGTTTACAGAACAAAACTCACAGCAAATAAAGTCAAATGATTTGCATTATGAGAGGCTGCTGAAGCAGGCAGAAGATGATTTCACAAAATCCTTTACAATGATAAAGGTCAAAAGCATTTAAACAGCAATGAAGGGCTACAGTTCATCATTACCATCTCTATTCAACTCAATGTGTGGGTTGGAGTATGACAATAGTCAGACAGTGGTGGAAACTCCGATCAACATACCCCCGAGGTCTAGCTGAAGTCATCAAATGTCAAAAACATATGAAAAAAGATGATTGTCCAATCCAGAAAAAGATGACTTTTTAAAGTTAATGCTTGAAAACTTACAATCTTTAAAAGTCTAATCTCTAAACTCTACTCCTCTGGAGTCTTATGATTAGGTTTGGTTTAGTTTCCAGGTAAAACATTGAACTTCATAACCAAGGGGCACACAATGCCTGTGTCTTATTGAAGTTTCTGTCGCCTTCCCAAGTGAAATGTGAAGCTGAATGTAAAACAAACAGACGTGAGAGTAGATGGAGACAGATGGTGACATGTAACAGCAAAGCTCAGAAAAACTAAATGAACTTTAAGGAAACCCCCGATCTGGATTCATGCTCGTTTCTCGCTCGTTCTTCTTCATGTGTTTAAAAAAAAACTGAGATTATCATCAGAAAGGAGAAATTACAGCAAAGATCCCCGACCGTCCACTGAGGCTGTTAACAAATCCAGAACCCCTCCTTGCTGCTAGAACCATTAACAAGCTGCTGGGATGAAAGGTTAGTGTGTGTGTGTGTGTGTGTGTAATTATCTAGATATTATCCCGAGTGCAGATGTGAAAACGGCTTAGAGGTGTCATTAAAAAAATCCTGATTTGTTTCAGCTGCTGTCACTTTAAGGCCCCCCCTCCCCACGTGCCCACTGTCTCCTGATTGGTCGGCTCTCTGGAAGCCTTTCAGGGCCAAAAGCTGCAGGGCTGCCAGAGGGGTGGCTACGCTCTGGTGTAGCATATATAAACGCCTTCATCGGCCTTTACATAGAGGCTTGAAGCTTGGAAAGTCTCTGTTTCAAATCGGGAAAGTCTCTGTTTCAAATCGGGGAACTCTCTGTTTCAAATCGGGGGACTATGGTGTGATTCACAGAACGAGCCATTTAGTGCCCTCTGCAGACTCATCCTGGGATTACTCCAACATACCTAACACCATAGGTGAATTTTTAAAATGGGGATAAGAGGTTAATTTGAATAAAGTGCGCTGATGGGGTAGCTAGCCTATGTTGTGAATTTGACATTGCCATGCTGTTAGCATAATGTTTAGCCGTTATATAATCACCAAACTAGTTTGGCATGTTAGCTAGCTGAAATTAGCTATTTAGCAACAAGCTGCTAATCACTAAACGTAGCTTTTATCACACCTGTAACATGGTTAAAAAGTCGCCAGTGACTACTTCATATTTAAACTTATTTGACCAACATTCAGGTTTGAGGTGACCTACTGATGTATAGCTTAAAGCTAACATAAGAAGCTCCAGTACTCTCGTTAAATTATTTGTGTTTTGCTACAATTATCTGTTAGAAATCATGTTTTGTCTCATGCTAAAGGCTAAGGATGGATGTTTTCATGGTTTCACCCACATGACAAAGCATACCAATGTGACCCTTAATCAGCTAACTGGACAAAGCCCTGCCTCAGCATGTGTAGCCCACAAAAGGTGACTCTAAGCATCAGCAACTTGGACCCGCTGACGTCACAGCAGCAGAGATCATGTCTCCATGGAACCGGATGGAAACACACAACAGTGTCACCTATTGTCTCACGGATGCAAAGGGAAAGGTCTGTCCCTAAAATAATGAAAGAAACGCTTGGCTGTGAGGCAACAAAAAGCCTTTCAGAGAGTCATTTTGATGACACATTCTACATCTGCTCTGATGAAAATAAGCCATTAGCAGCAGGCAGCTAATTAGCAGGTATAGTAGGATTATTAAATATTCATCTTGAGGAACCACCTCCCCAGAAAATAAGCAACAATCAAACATAATGAGTCAAATTCTAAATTAGCAACAAAATGTTATATTTAAATGATAAGTGGTGCAGATGATGACACCACCTTTTTCAAGTTTAGAGCCGCCCACTCTTATTACGACATAAACAACAAAATCCCCTCAAATCAAATCTCTCATGTGTTAACACCAAACCTGTAAAACAAACATGGACGCCGTCTCAGCGACGTTACCCATCACTTTCTGAAGAGTCCATATTGGAAAAGCTGTCACCACCTAACTTTCAATCGGTCTTAAAAAAAAGGCCAAGAGGTGGAGCTGAGGCGGGCCTTAAACCTCCCTTTCTCCCAATTTAGCCACGCCCCAAATCATGCAAATGTGTGCAAAAAAAGAGTTTGCTTTCATACAACATAGTAGCCTAGCAGTGGCCATTTTTAATTGAGAAAACAATACTCTACTTAGACTTAGACTTAGACTTAGACTTTCTTTATTGTCATTCAAACTTGTACTTTACAGTGCAGATAAGAACGAAATTTCGTTGCATTTGGCTCGTTGTAGTGCAGGATAAAACAGCAGCAAGTATTTACATATAAAAAATAAAAATAAGGTGCAGATATAAATAGATATAAAAAGAAAAACTATGAGTAAAATATAATTTTATAATTTTACTCTAATATCATGTGTTATCAATTAAAGGCTTAAAGGTTTGTTGTTGACATTACTTCCTACATTATTTTCAGAAGACAATCCAGAAAATTGTGATTTGTTTCCTGCTTAAACATACAAAGATAACAAACCGTGCACAAGCAATTATACTAATTATAAAAATCTGATTATGGTGAAGACAGCGATAATGACGAGGACAGCATGGACCTGAATGCTGTCTGAGTGTGGCGTTTACTGAAAGGGTTAAGTCCTCATACCTGGCCTCCCAGGGAATACACTCATCCTTCAAAACAAAAAAAAAAAGGTCAACACTCTTTGACGGGAGATCTGTCTCCATTTCAGTCAAGGGTGTGCCACAGGGTAAAAACATGCTTAATTTACTCTCCTGTTTGTTATAACCGACATGTTCATTACAGGGTTATCTGGATGAATCACTTGGTCACGTTTAGTCCCATGATCCTCTGCTTCAGGCAGCAGTGTTCTGCAGAGCTCTACAGCTGGATGTGCAGCTAACCAGGAGAAAATCAACCCACATCATTGATTACACTCAGAAGTTAAAAAGTCACCCTGATTTTGGGATTTTCAGCGCAGCGGCTTCCTGTCTGCGTAAAACGGCTGCGATGATTTAGCATAAATGCCTGCCAACGGTGAGATAATCCGTCTAGGGATGCTGCGGCTATCAAAAGAGAACCAAAACAATACGATCGCAGTCAGACAGGAAAATCTGGGTCCTCCTGAAGATGCAACTGTATGCAGGCAGTTGCCAAGGAAACAGCTTTTTTCTGCTTTTCATTAGAGCTCAATGGCTACTGCCCCGCTTTCTCTGTTGGGTTTTTTGTTGTTGTTGTGTGCACATGTTTAAGTGTGCACACAGGTCTGTGTGTGTGTAAGTGTGTTGGTTGTGATCAGCGTGAAAAAGGAAGCATGTGAGAGCAAATCGAGTTAGTCAGGAAGCAGGTCTGGAGTCTGATTTGATCAGTCAAATGTGTGATCAGTGTGAACGTCGCCGTGCAGCTTAGGTCTGCTTCAAACAATGTGCTGAGCCTTTAAAACACACAGCACTTTGAGGGGTCATGTTGGGGAACCCTTCATATAAACATTTCAAAGATTAAATCAAAGCTTTTAGACATGATGTAAAACGTGCCAATGAGACATTTTCTCCCAGTGCGTACATGCACATCTTCTGAAGCCTAAAAATAACATTTGAAAAATTAAGATTCAAACGCTGACGCTTTGGCAGATAAGTGTCAGCAGTGCTGGCATCTGAAATTCACCACAGTGATTACTATTATATAAGACCGCAGTCTGCAAGTGATGGACTGCTCTTTCTGTTTCTGTAGCATGCAGTCCTCGTGCTCCGGGCCCGCCGCAATAAGAACACACTGTTCAGAACTTTAAAAAAGCACTTTATATTTTTTTCCTTTTTAACATTTTCTTAATGAAAGCTCAACCTTGACTTTTTGTCCCCCCTAAGAAACACAAAAAAACGTCAGACCATGCCACAGATTCTAAACCTGCAATTGAGCAGATGGATGCCTAAGGTGTTTGTTTTTTATACCTCTAAATCGAAAACTAAAAATGTGAATTTTTCTCACTTTGTGCTTATTGGAACATACTGCAGCAGCCACTGGATCTAAAAGAGCCCACATTGTGTTTTTGTAATGTTACAAATTTGCCACATCAGCCCCTCTTGCAAGATGCCAATTGTGCTAGTAGCAAGCTAGCTAAACTAGCTGCAAGTACTGCTGCTTAGAGCATTTTAAGCTAGTTAGCCTACTGGATATATCATTAATGATATCAAACAGCTTCCATAGCTCCCACTCTCAGGATTGTATATGTCACACTTTCTAGATGCTAGGATGCTATAGCTAGCGTTAGCTGCCTTTCTTTAATGCTTCAAGGTGTGTCAGTATGGATAAAGACCAAGCACTCAAAAGTCGCTTGAATAGTCTAAAAGTAACATCAGCACTTCCTGTGTGACTTCAAAATACACAACAAGTTTATGGTTGTGCGTGAATTGCAGGACAATAAACATCAGGACCTACTTGCACGCCAGGAGGATTTACATGGCCTACACTGTCCTCTTTGAAATGGTACAAACAGACACCCAACTAAATCACACATTGAACATGCTCTTGGCTACAGCTTCCTGTTTCAACCAGGCAGAGTCCTTATTGTTGGACAGCCATCAGCAA